CTCCCCTGCGCTCACCACTCTGCTGCCCACATAGTCACCTACACATCACCCAAGCGACTTCCAGGCCTGGTTCTTCACTTCTCCCCAGAACATCCAGTTCCTTTAGGCACCTTGGAGAGCGTCTCAGGCCAGGCTGGGGGCGCCCAGAGAGCTGTGACATGGGGGGCGCTCAGGGCTGAGATAGAGGAGCTGTGGGTTGGGATTGTGAGGCACTGGCGGAGCTCTGGTTTTGGGGGAGCCCAGGGCTGAGATAGGAGGACATGGGGGCCGGGACTGGGGGTGCCAGCAGAGCTGTGGGTGAGGAAAGATGGGCCCTTTGGTCTGACCCTGGCCGTTCTGATGGATAGCGGAGACCTCCGGACACCGGCGGAGCTGTGAGTTTCTAGGCTAGGGCTGGATTAGGAACATGCCAGTGGGCCAGGACTCAGAACCCGTCTACACAGGAAACGAAGGCGCGACTGCATCATGGGGGGAGGGGTCCCCATCTCACCTTGAGTCTCGCTAGCACGGGAAACAACAGCCCTGGGGACAAGTGGGCCCGGAGCTTCCCCGCGTCCCTGGCAGGTGGCTCTGTGCGTCCGCCATTACTCCCCGTGCTGGGCCAATGGAAGCCGGCACGGCACCGCCCATCACGCTACATTTGCACCTTTGCTTCCTGGTAGGGCAACATGCATCTGCCCTTTCTGTGGAGCCCCAGGGTTGGGCAGCACACCGGCTGTTACTTCCCCACCCACACCCTGCCTGCTGGGCCCCTGCTCTTAATGATCAGTTGTTCCAGCATTGTGCTGACCCCACCGTTTATAGCATTTCCCCGCCCCCACCCCTGCCGGCTGGGCTCTATATAACCCTAGATAGGACAGCGGAGCTAGACAAGGTTCAGCTCGGCAGAGCAAAGGCACCGCTCCCGCGACAGCGAAGGCACCAGGGTGTGGGTAAGTCGCAGGGGAGCCTAGCGCCTCGGAGAAGGGAGAGACCAGTCTCCTCTGGGGTGGGAACCAGAGTTTGTTTCTGGGAGGCAGCAGGGACTAGTGGTCAGAGGAGGCGAGGGCTGAAAGTCAGGGCTCCTGGCCTCTCGTTCCCTCTCTGAGCGGGGAATGGGGATAACGAGCGAGGTTGTGGGGCAGAACAGGGAGAGAGGAGTCATGTGAAGGCGATGACATCAGGTGGGGCGGGGGACGGGTTCTGACATAACGCTTCTCCAACACTCCAGTTCAAAGAGGCTGGTTTTGATGCAGCGTTAGCTGGATTTAGTAACTACTGAAAGAAAGGTTTCAGTGACTATAGCTAATGAGGCATTAGGATCAGAATTGGCTACATAGAAAATAGAAGAAAATGCAATCTAACATCTAAAGGGAGCAAGTTAAAGATTTTGTTCCACGCCCACTAGGCATTGGTGAGACAGTGAGCAGAGAGACGGGGAGAGGAGAAATCTTACTTGCCCCCGTCTTTGGGCAAGAGTCAAAAGCAGCTGCTGCTGTATATGGACCATCTGAGGGAGGGGAAACACACAGTCATGTAGATTTTCACCCACCCCTCTTTCTTCTCAGAGGACTGGCCCTTAACTAAGCCATAGCTGAGATAGTCTCTACAGGCCTGTCTACACTATAGTGTGATTTCAAAATAACTCCCGATTTCAAAACAAGGGAAGCATCCACACAGCAAGTCTGTTGTTTTGAAATTACTTCCACTTATCAGGCTTGCTGTAGAGAGACACTCACCATGTATTCCATGAGGAATAACGCCTATTGCAAAACTGCTATTTCAAAATAAGATTCGTGTGGACGCTCATCTGCTGTTATTTCGAAATAACGACTCCCCAGAGTCATTCAAAGTAATTACTCCCCCAAACTTCTGGGGGTGCTAATTCAAGGTAGAGCATTCACATTAGGGGAGCCTACTGGGACACATTGGGTGTGTCTAGACTACAGGGTTTTGTCGACAAAAGTGGACTTTTGTCGATAAAACTATACCACACTGCTTTTGAGTTATGTCGACATAATGTTGACAAAACTCAGCAGTTTTGTCGACGGTGGTAAACCTCATTCTACGAGGAATAACGGCTTTTGTTGACAGAGTTCTGTCGATAGAAGGCATTATTGCATCTACACTGTCCTTTGCGTCCACACTGTTATGTCAACAAAGCGGCTTGCTTTGTCGACAGAACTGGATGTCGTCTAGACGCTCTTTGTCGACAGAAGCTTTGTCAACAGTACCTGTCGACAAAACTTCTGTCGACAAAACCCTGTAGTCTAGACGTACCCATTCTGAGGTATCCCTGAAGTGAGGATGTGCTATTTCAAAACAGTTATTTTGGGACTTCTTAAATTAAAATAATTTGTTTTGAAATAACCTTGTAGCGGAGACATAGCTTTAGAGACCTGACTGCAGTTGGCTGGCTTTGTCTCTCAGGGAGAGCTTTGTGTCTGCTTTTCTATGCCTGGAATCTGTTATCAGCAATTCTAGGCAGTGAAACCTTACTGCTCTTCATGCAATGTTGTTACATCTGTTTGCCATGACAATGATGATCAGCGGATTATGAATGTGCAAGCAATATCTCTCAAAGGTTGCTGTAGCGGTTCCATGGAAAAAGCAGATCCTCTCCTCATGTTCTCTCCCTCCATCTCCCCACCTCTCTTCCCACGGCAGGTCGATCCAGTGATAGGCATGGCCATGGCCAGCGGGCACTCATGTTTCCCACCATTCGAGCATTTCCTGTGGGACCACTGGGACTATTCAAAGACCTCACTCCCCAACCCGAACAACTACTGCGACAGGATGATGTGGTACCGAGGACTGTATGGGAAGCCGAAACACATCTTCATCTACGAGCCCATCGACAAGATCTTGAACGTCTGCCGTGGGGGAGGGATTCACCTGGGTGGAGGCTGGTATAAGAGCAAAGATTACTTCACCATCATCAAGTGCACGTTCCACCCTCCCTGCGGCCCTTACACCGGGACCGGGATTTGCACAAAAATAGTCCTGAGATGCTGCAACGGGTTCCCTGTAGATATTAAAGAGTAGACGTTGTGTGCACACAGGGCATTTGAGGGCACTGGCTGCCCCCTCTAGTACCACGCTGCACCCTCCACACCTCACACGACACTCAGCTCCTCACAGGCCTCCATTTAATTGAGTTTTCCATCCTTCACTGGCTTCTTCCCCTAGTGTCCATTATACAGTATCGCCCTCCCTCCCCTTCCCTGCCCCATCCTCTGCGGCCCCTAGTGCTTCACTCTGCGGGTTTTTTAATTCATTCTGGGTTGTATTCCTGTTCCTCATAATGACCAGTTATTTCTCATTGTCCCCTACACCCTTAACCATTTTCCTTTGTTCTTGTTCTCTCTGTGCTCTATAAGTTCCATAAAACCTGCTGCCTGCAAAGCAACCGCTGTCGTGTTGTGTTAATTCGGGGGAGGGACGAGTGTGAGGCACTGAGCCCCGAGGGGTGGAGGGGGGAAAGGTGTGTGTGTGTGTGGGGAGGGGCAGTTTCAGTGTGGTTCTCTGCGCTTTCAAGCCCAGTCTCTGTGTTTTCTGCACCGTGGGGATCAGAATCCAGGACACGTGGCTGATCCCTCTGGCCCACACCACCTAGACCCCACAGCGCTATGAAGAGATGGGAACTGGACCCAGGTGTCCTGGATTTTCATCCTCCCTGATTTCACCACCAGGCTGCGCTCCCCCGGAAGTGCCAGGCGTAGGTGCAAGGAGTTCTGATTCCTTTCCTCCCTTGCTCTCCCCCACTAGACCCTACACCCCTCCCAATACGGGGACCGCCCCCACAAACACAAACACTCCTACTTCAGGCCACGAGCCAGCCGCCAAGGGCGGAAGGCCAGGGAGAGACTTTGCCTTTGAGCAAGTTTTTTTGAAATTTTTATACTGGCAGAATGAATTGCCCCGCAGAGAGTGGGATGGGCGAGTGGCAGAGACTGAGGCAGAGGGAGCCCAGTCTTGGCCACGCCCACATGACTGCGGAGAGCTGAGCTCTCCAAACGAGCAACCGAGTTCAACTGGGCCCTTGCCAGAAACAGCCTCCTCTGTGGCGTGAATCCTCCCTGCAGTCCCCATGCGGCAGCTCCGCCTGTTAAGGTAGATGCTCCAGGCTCTAATTTCCATAGGGCCTTGGCTTCCAATCCCTCAATGCCGATGCACAAACCCATCACGCCTTGCAGGAGCGTAGTGAGAGACCTGCCCGGGGTGCCGGCTGGAACCGGGCACTGCTGGGCCTTCTGCCTTTTGCTCACCGTGATGTTGTGGGAAGCTGCAAGCTGCCCCCATCCTTGCACTCGCACAAGCATTTACACAGGCGGGGGCATCCTCATCTGGCGATGCACGAAGGCTTGTCCTCGGCCACTCCGTCGCTAACGAGAGAGAGGCCCCAGCCAGCTCCCCTCTAGCCCGACGGCCTAGGGACCCAGAGCTGTTCCCTCTTACGCCGGTCAAAGGCCTGGCCAAGTGCACGTTTGCTACGCAGTCCCTTCTCGCAGTCCCCCAGCACGCCGAGCAAAGGAATACCGCCTAAGGGACAAATTATAAAATCATGTTACCGGCCACTCCGTCGCTAACGAGAGAGAGGCCCCAGCCAGCTCCCCTCTAGCCCGACGGCCTAGGGACCCAGAGCTGTTCCCTCTTACGCCGGTCAAAGGCCTGGCCAAGTGCACGTTTGCTACGCAGTCCCTTCTCGCAGTCCCCCAGCACGCCGAGCAAAGGAATACCGCCTAAGGGACAAATTATAAAATCATGTTACAAGTGGCCAATGCCAGGTGCCCAGAGGGAGGGAACAGAACAGGGAACCATCCAGTGACCCCTCCCCCTCGCCCATTCCCAGCCCTGACACACAGAGACCAGGGACCCTCCTTGCCCATCCATTGATGGACCCAACCTCCATGAATTTCGCTGGTTCCTTTCTGAACCCTGTTCCACTCCTGGTCTTCACAACCTCTCTGGCGCTGTCTCCGTCCATCCCCCCTCCCCACTGCAGGCGGATCCAGACACAGCCATGGCTCTGACAGGTACCTGGTCCACGCTCCTCCTGCCCCTCTTCCTGCTGGGGGCTGGCCTGGCCCTGGCCAACAAGCATCCCTGGGACGAGCAGAACGACAGATTCCTCCTGCGGCACTGGAACTACCCCAGGAGCGAGGCCCCCAACGGCACCTACTGCCAGGCCATGATGCAGCGCCGGGACCTGTCGGGCCAGGACTCCAACACCTTCATCCACGCGCCCGCGGGCTCCATCAACAGCATCTGCAGCCTGGGTGGCAGGCCCGGCCTGCCCAACCAGCGGCGCAGCGTGGCACCCTTCCACCTCACGCTCTGCGCCCTCAACGCCACCAGCCACGCCTACACCGAGACACGCTACCACCGCAGGGTCGTCCTCGCCTGCTGGAGAGGGCTCCCCGTGGACTATGTGAAGCACATCTAGGGCCCGGCGCCGGGCCGGAGGGGGACACGGCGGCTTCCTCCTGCCCCCTTGTCCCTTCCCCGCCGGCCACGCTCCCAGCGTCTCGCCTGCCACTTACTGGCCATCGAAACACCTGTCCCTTCATTAATTTATTGAACCCACCGGTTTTGCCCTTCCAGTGTCCAGCCTGATCCCGGATCGGTCTCACGTTTACCGCGAGTCAGTGTTATTCCTCATCGGTCGATTTTTATGCACCTTTCCCCCCTCCCCTCCAACGCTGGGTGCTCACAAATCTCAGTAACCACCGATACCCAGCAAGCTGTCTGGCGCTTGTGGTGTTATTCTGGGCAGAGAAAGGGGATGAGTCACCGGCGCGCTGGGAATGCCGGGCGGCTTTTCCCGAGCAGTTCTCGTCACTTTCAGTCTTTGCCTCCTGCTAGGGACACAATGCTGGAGTTGTGGCTTTTCTCTCTGGCCCTGCTCACACCTACCAGACCCCCTCGCCCACCGGAGCTGAATATAGAATATCGGCCTCCTGAAACGTATGGGCCTGTTTGAACCCACTCGGCCCCTCTCTGCTGCCAGTAACAAGGCCCGGATTCCCAGGTGCCCCTGTGCTAGTTCATTGGACCCCCAAACAGACTGGTGCCAACCCACAATGGCTCCCCCAAAAGCAGCAGTCACCCAACAGCCATGAACCTTCATGCTTCAGGGCAGGGACCGGTTGTGAACTGGGCAAGGTCAGGAGGAAAGTGCCTCCCAGCCAGTTTTACCCTAATTCCTCTTGTGGGAGGGAGGCGGGGGGGAGCCAGATGGCTCTGCCCTGACAATGTCCGTCTTGCCCACAGTGCGGATCTGTAACAAAGCAAAACTCAGGCCTATCTCAGTCTGGGGCAGGGAGCACACAGGCCAGGTCGGGGGAGCTGTGAGAGGCAGGAATGTTTTGCATAACAATGCAGATTAAGCGCGGTACGCGAGACCACATCAAGAACTCACGACAAGCGGCCTTGAACGGGTCCTTCTGTTTCCGATAAGCAAAAATTACAGATGCGGCCACGAAACTGTCCAACTACGCACGTAACAGCAACATCCTGTGTAGGATGTTCCCCAGATAGCAGCACTGGGCATTGTACGTATCCTACACAACACGCAATCAATTGGTAAATAGTATTAGTACGACAGAGTCTGGCTCTGCTATCCAACGGGCTCAGCGAGAAGACTCGACGGAAGGGAGGGAGCAGGATGGACCCACAGCTCCTGCCGTTGTAACTAGAAGTGACGGGCCCATCACACTGGCTAGGCATCCCGACGGGTGGGACTCCGAGGGACCACGACCTCCTCCGGGTACTGTGGGTGGCAAATGAGTACGAGGCTTAATTCTAGTAGAGCTTCTAGGAATTGCTTTGGGCTGGGCTAATGGCTTTAGAATTGATCGTATTTACGGTGGAAATTGTACAGTCATTGTTTTTAAGGCTTGTAAAATGTAAACAACTGTGTTCAGTGCTTAACGCCGGCAATAAATAAGGAACGTTTCCCTGGAGAGGTCTGGTCTCTCTTGGCTCTAAAGCAAACCAAACCACCCAACAGTGGGCGATGTTTCGCCGGGGCTAGGAAAGGCTCCCCACATTCGGCAGCTGGACACCCTGAGAGGTCTGGGGCAGCTGGACGAAGCCACGGCACGGCTGAAATGAAACGGGGCCCGCAGGACTGTCGATTTGTGCGCCCACGCGGGCCGCAGAGCTGCTGAGATGGTGGCTGACCAGGCTCGCCGCCGCCGCGCTGTAAAATCCCACGCGTACGCCCGGCTCTATCCTGCACGGCCACAGTTCTGGGCCCTGCCATGGGGGGCGCTCGTCCCCACGGCGCCTCCTGCTGGGCGCTGTGGGAACTAGCTCCCCAGCCCTGATGCGTCCCCTTCCAGCTGGTGGTACCGTGCTAGGTCAGTGCCCCTGCACTCTGGGGTCCTTCCCTCCCAGGGACCCCCAATCCTCCTCCCCCCGCTCTGCCTCAGTGACCCATGGCCAGGGGCACCTAGCCCCTGCCTCACGGGCCAAGTGCAACCTGGCACGGTTGCTCCGCATTGGCAGGGGGTGGGGACCTGCTGCCTTGGCCTGCCCTGGCTGTGTCTGTAGGACCCTCAGGCCCTACTGCCTGGGATAGGGGAGCCCCCCAGCCCTGCCGGCCTCTCCCCAGCCCTGCCCTGTCTCAGGAAACCGCCCTGGCAGCCAGGTCCCTCCTGAGCAAGAGGGAATCTGTCTGTTCCCCTAGGAGCCCTCCATCATACAGGCCAGCTGGGCCCTCGTTAGCTGTTGCTGCCCCAGCTAGGGGGCTCTGCTCTCTCAGCCCTGTACCCCTCACAGGGCCAGTGTGGGGTAACAGGCCCCCTACTTTTGACTCCCTTGCTTGTCTAAGTCTTGCATGTCTGGTGTTGTGTTTTGTATGTATTTTGTGGTTGTGTGTGTGCTGTGTGCGTGTGTTGTGTTTGTGTTTCTGCATGTGTGTGTGTCTTTTGTGTTTGTGTGTGTGTTTTTGTGTATTTATGTGTTGTGTGTGTGTATGGATCTGTATCTTTTGTGGGTATGTGTCTTTTATGTGTTTGAGTGTGTTTTTTGTGTATGTGTGTATTGTGTACAGGTGTGTCTTTTGTGTGTGTGTGTGTGTGCGTGTGTTTTGTGGGAATGAGCTTCCTCCTCATTTTTTTTATCAGTTTCTGCTTGGTGTGGTTGTGTCCCCTTCTTGGTTGGATCCGTTTCTGGTATTTTCCTGTGTGTGTTTGTGGTGCGTGTATCTGTGTGTGTGTGTGTGTGTGTGTGTGTGTGTGTGTGTGTGCGCGCACACGCGTGCCTCTCAGTGACTCATCCCTCACGCTGCTCCCCTTCCCATGCCTAGCACCGACAGGGGTGCCAAGCAACGCTCCGACCCAGCCCAACCTGTTCTCTTTGTGAGGAAAGGAATAATTGATGCCAATTATCCGCTAATCCCTCACTCTGTCTGTCCTGCCCCAGCGCCCTCTCCTGATTTCACGCTGACAATCCAAGGGCATGGGGCTGCCCTTCAGGAATAGGGCAGGCTCCCTGCAGTGTCCAGTGGGCCCGCGGCATCCGGCAGGGAACAAGCCACCTGCCACTTGGATGCCCGGTGTGTCAGCATGTCCTGCCTTGCCAGGCGGTGCCACTGGGGGCAGGAGCAGCTGGCTCCGTCGCCCAGCACCTCGCGTCCTGGCTCAGGCGGCGGGAGAGCCGGACCTGCAGGAGGAGTTAGCTCCGCTGGACGCCGGCCTTGCCGGAGCTGTGGTCTGTCGCTGAGGGGCGCTGCCGGAGCCGTGGGATGGGGCCGCTAGTGTAGGAACGGGGCCTGCAAACCGAACCTCATCTTAAACGGGAACGTGCAGACTAAAACGTCACTGACAGTCCCGGGAGAGGCAGGAATAGGCGCCGCACAGGTTGAGTGAGGAGCGTGATGGATTGTTCCCGGCTCCTGCCCTTGGGGTAGGGAGTTGGTTTCTAAACAGAGGCAGGGGATTAAGATGAGAAAAGGCCTGTCATTCCATTAAAGGAAGGATCACTAGAAGGTCCTGAGTGTACTGCCAGTTACAGACATAGGAAACGAGGGGTAAGGACGAATGGTCGGTTCCCAGAATGGAGAGAGGTTAATAGTGGTGTCTCCCGGGGGGAAGTGATCCGGAAAAAGGGGTACATGGTGAGGGGGCAAAACTGACAGACGATACCGGACAGCTCACAGGCCCAGGCCCAACAGGACTGTGGATTCGCTTCAAGATGCAGTCGATTAGGGGTAGTTGCTTTTATTAATCTCACTACGTCACTATTACAGGCTTACTACTGCCCATGGTTACACAGCTACTGCAAAGTAATACGCCGATAAGCACAGGCCGAGCAATGCACGGAAGAGTAACCGGCGCTTGGAAATGCTCACACCCCATCAGTCCGCGGAGAGTCCGGTTCCGGTCACCTCGCACCAGGCTGCGGTGGACGTGGCTCCAACTGGGGGGATCCAGGGCACCCTGCAAGGTCGAGGTCCCTGGTGAGCCTCAGTGGGCACAGGACTCCCTACACTAGTTATGCTACAGTTGGTTACCAGGTGTGCGCGTACCTGGCTCAACGCCATTCTTACCACTCTCTGAGACCGAGGTCAAAGTTGTTTACCGCTTAGTAGTTTCCCAGCTCAAGGCACGGCTTAGAGCTGATAAGGGCCAGCTGCAGTTTAGGCTTGCAGGGTCCCAGGCTATGCTAAACTGGGTACAACGGGGATGGAAACTTCCACCCCAGGCCTGCTAAGCTGCATGACCCACATATGACACTACTAAAGTACTCTAGACAGTCGAGTCCAAAGCCGACTTCGAAGGGCTACCAGGTCACGAAACTGGGTGACCAAGATGAAATTCCATGTCCATAAATGCAAGCTGACGGACGTCGGAGAACAGCCCACCTACCCATGTCAAAGGAAGGGGTCTAAACTCGCAGGTACCACTCGAGAAAGATCGTGGAGTCGTTGTGGCGAGTTCTCTGAAAACATCTCGCTCAGTGCTCAGCAGCAATGAAAAAAGTAACCACAGGCTATGTCTAGTCTGCGCTGTTGAGTGTAAGAAATACGCAAATGAGGCAAAGTGTGGAATATCACCGTGCCTCATTTGCATAATTGAGACTCCATTTTTGCGCAAGAGCCATTCTTCCACTTTTTTTTCAGGAAGAACGGCTCTTGCTCAAGAGGGGTTTTTTTGCGCAAAAAGGAGCCAAGTAGACGGCTCCTTTTTGCACAAAGGCCTCTTGTGCAAAAATGGCTGCTCATTAATTATGCAAATGAGGCACGGCGATATTCCATGCTTCACCTCATTTGCATATTTCTTGCGCAAAACAGCACAGTATAGACATAGCCACAGTGTTTCAGGAGATAGAGAGATATAATAAGGCAAAAAAATCTCACATTGATGCTATATAAATCCAGGACATGCCCACATTTGAATACTGTGTGAACAAGCTCTCTCAGAAAAGATCTGTTGGTTTTGGAAAAGGTACACTGTGTGAACAAGCTCTCTCAGAAAAGATCCATTGGATTTGGAAAAGGTACGGGAGAAATGATTAAGGGATTAAGCTCTTACAT